CTTGAGTATTAGTTATGTTATGTAAATTATGCTTAATGAAAGTGCAGCCTTGGTCCATAAAAACTTAACAATGCATTTGTCTTCATTTGAGCATTCCCAGCAGCCACCACCTCCCTTTACAGGCCCTAATAGCTGGGATTTCACTGTATGTCCCTGTCCTCCACAGCCATTGTCAGGAGGGCCCCATAACAGGGAGAGGACCTGGCTTATACTTAATAAGATGAATGTGTCACCATGGAGTTGGCATCAGGTGGCCCGGGCACACATAAGGACAGGGAAGCAGATGTGGCTGTGCCCATTTCTCCTCCCCAGGCCCTCTTTGTTAACAGTGTTCAGATGGCTAGAAAAGACCAAACTTGGTCTTGCATACCCAACAGCTGGATGTCACCTCTGATTCATCAGCAAGCATTTATTAAGTGCCTCCTGTGTACACAGTACATGGCAAAGACATACATCTCTCTCTTCATGCAAGTTGCAAACAGGGAGTACTTTCTGACTCTTTCCATGACACCCATCTTTAGATGCCCATAATAAACTCTGAGGAGCTCTACAGCTGTTGTTCTCAGTTCTATGCCAATGCCCTTGAAGGAGTCACAGAAAAAAAGGTCCGTTTGCAATCTTCCACTCAAAGTTTCAAAACAGATCCCCATAGCTTAAGAGGAAAGGAGCTGGGATTATAGTTCTGTATATTCTGTATAATGCAGTTTTCAAACTTATTAAATATTTCTAAAAATAAAATTTCTTTCCACAGCCTCTAAGGCCTTGCATGGACTGACCCTACGCACCTCTCCAGGCGTAGCTCATTCTGGCGTTCTCTCTTCAACAGCCACACAGGCCTCTTTTCAGCTCCTGGTATCACTAAGCTCATCCATCCAAGAATCTCTGCAGGTGCTGCTCCCTCAGCCTGCAAGTTCTCCCCTCTCCTCTTTCCTACTTCACTCCTCACCCTTCAGTTCCCAGGAGAGACACTGCTCTGTTAGCGAAGGCCCACCCAGGTCCCCTCATCCAAATTAGGTCCCACCACACCACCATGGGGAGCCCTGGTGGAGCAGTGGTTAAGAGCTTGGCTGCTAACCAACAGGTCAGCAGTTTGAATTCACCAGCCACTCCTTGGAAGCCCTATGCGGCAGTTCTACTCTGTCCTATATGGTCACTATGAGTGGGAATTGACGAGACAGCAAAGGGTTTGTTTTGTTTTTTTTTTTATACCACCATGTACTTTTCCTCCTCAGCACCTGTCCTGGTTATGATTTTACATCTGTTTGTGTGAGAGATCGTGTGTGATTATTTAATGACCCTCAAGCTCCACTAGACTTTAAGTTTCACGAGGACAGTGGTCATGTTTATTTTTCTGTATCGCCAAATCTTTAGCACCAAGCACACAGTAGGCAGCATGATAATTTATTTGAATGAATGAATGAGTGAATTAAGGATCACTTCTTCATGACTGTGGAAGAAAGACCAAGAAAAGAAACACACATTCACTGAACAGGTGTGATGGTTAATTTTTTGGGTCAGTCTGGCTAGGCTTTGCTACCCAGTTGTTTGGTCAAACACTAGTATAGATGTTGCTGTGAAGGTATTTTGTAGATATGTTTAAGGTCTATAATCAACTGACTCTAAGTAAAGCAGATTATCCTCTTTTATATGGGTGGGCCTCATCCAATCAGTTTAAGGTCTTAAGATAAAAACAGAAGATTCCCAGGAGAGAAGGATTCTGCCTCAAGACAGTAACATAGAAGTTCTGCTAGAGTTTCCAACCTGCCACCTGGCCTAGCAATTTTGGACCTGCCAGCCCCTACAATCACATGAGCCAGTTCCTTAAAATCAATCAATCAATCTCTCTCTACATAAATACGTAGGAGCCCTGGTGGTGCAATGGTGAAGTACTTGGCTGCTAACCGAACACTGCCAGAGGATCCACAGGAGAAAGATCTGGTGATCTTCTTTTGTAAAGATTACAGCCTAAAAAACTCTGTGGGACAATTCTAGTCTGTTACGTGGGGTTGCCATGAGTCAGACTCGACTCACTGGCACCCAGCAACTACATAAATACATACACATATGTGTACACACACACACACACATATATCTCCTATTGGTCCTTTTCCTCTGGAGAACCCTGACAAATACAATAGGAAAAAAGAATTTTGATCATAACTGGCTGAACACTAGAAAAGCTACCAAGAGAAGCCACACAGACTGCAGGTCCAAACATCTTCAAGAAGGGATCGTTTCTTCCAAACAGGACAGCAGGTGGATGGGTCAGATGAGCCCTGCCTGTCCTGAGTTTTCTGGGCCAGTTGCCTTTCAGCCACAGAAACAGCATCCAGTCATGTGGTCTGGATGCATTTCTACTCCAACAGCTCAGCCAGGGGCCTTTATCCCCACTCTTTGTTCTGCCTCATGGTTCCCAGGAAGAACATAGATCTTTTTATTTTCTAGGCAGTAAAACACAGAGAATAACTACAACACAGCCTGACAAATACTGGATGCCTGAGAGTTGAGGGCCAAAATGAGTTGGATGCCCTGCTCCCAAACCTAACACAGACAAGGGGCAAAATATCCAGGAACGGAATGTACTTACAAAATGCCTGTCTCTCACCTGGATTTCAAAGGAGTTTCAATGAATTAGTTGGCCAGAACTTCGTGGAAAAGGAGATCATCCCAATTTGTTCATCTCACAAAGGAATTGTGTGAATCCTATTTGACCCCTGTTTTTTCAATCTAGGGTATGAATTTAGCTAGCTTTGAAAATGTTTTAGGGCTTACACAGAAATTTGTAAAATGTCAGTGTGGAAATTTTAATTGAGTTATTAGCAATATCTCTTCTTTGAATGACCTTTTAGTACTCCTTATAACATATCACCTCCTTTACTACCTTCTGGCTGACAGTTTCTAATATATTCCTTCTTCCTAGATGATATCATCTGTCCTTGGATGGAATTAACTAAAGCACTATACATTCAGAAGCTGACATTAATCCATAGCCCCAGATTTGTAACAGCTGCTGGTATAAACACTGTTTCCATACATCGGGTTTTAACTGTGAGGGGGAAATACATACTATTTGTTGGACACTGACATACAAACAAAGGAATCAGAGAGACAAATAGCAATGATTAGAACGCATTTGAAAATTAGCTTAAATATTATACCTATTGCATAAATCTACAGGAACATTGCTTGCTTTATGGAAATTTTACATTTCTCTTAAGAATCATATGTGTCAAGGAAGTTAATCATAACAGGAAATTATAAGGATGAATGGCAAACAAGTTGTTTGTTCAAGTAACTTTCTGATACTTCGGTAAAGGAAATACAGAAAATACAGTCTCATATTCTGAGTAACCCAGACATTCTGCATCATTCCAAGAAATGGAAAAAGTAAATCAACATGGTATGTGGATAAAGAAAGGTGCATTCTGAGTTGAGAATCACCAAACAGGGAAATGATGAATACAAACTCTCCCCAAAACACCCAACCCCAGTGGTTTCTTAATGATATCAAGGCACCCAAACCCCATATACTGATGTGAAACGTACTTCATCCAACCAACAAAGGAGCAGGAGGCCCTGCCTTCCCCCTCCCCACGTCCTCCCCGTCTTCTCCTCCCAGACTTTATATTCTGCTGGAAACAGGCGTGTATACACCAGTGCAGCAACAAGCAGTGGCATCTGTAGGGACCTCACCGGCATTTTACATCAGCACAACAGTGTTATTTAGAATCTGAGGTGGTAATGACCATCGTGAATGCCAGACTGCTCATACAGGTCCCAAGGCTCAAGGTGGCTGATTATAGTGTGCCAATGGTTCAGTAGTAGAATTCTTGCCTTCCATAGAGACCCGAGTTCGATTCCCAGCCAATGTACCTCAAGCACAGTCACCACCCATCTGTCAGGGGAGGCTTGTGTGTTGTTATAATGCAGAAGAAGTTTCAGCAGAGCTTCTAGACTAAGACAGACTAGGAAGAAAGGCTTGGCAATCAACTCCAAAAAACAGCCAATGAAAACCTTCGGGATCCCATCCACAAACGATCACGGGGATGGTGCAGAACTGGGGAACATTTCCTTCTTTTGTGGGAGGGGTAGCCAACAACATGTCAGGCCTGGTGAGGGAAATATTTTAGCTCAGGAGGATACTGTTGAGCAAGAAGGCAGACAACACTTCTATCCACACATGAGACCAACTCATTGCGCAGGACTCCGTTTTACATCAAGAGATTCAGGAAAGCAGTGAAAGTCAATTTCCCCATGAAAAGGTACCATCCCTCAGTGATGAATGGGGATCCTTCAGTCCAGCAGATAATGAGTTCCGCCAATAGTGACCATGCATAATGGAAGGTTACTGTGGTGAAGAATATGAACTGGAGAGTCAGATAGACCTGGGTTCTTGTTGCAACTCTACTACCCTGGGCAAACTACTTACCATAGCCAACCCTCTGATTTCCTCATCTGTAATACAGATAACAATCTTTGCACCTCCTAGGGGTGTTGTAGAGCAGTGGTTCTCAAAGTGTGGTTCGTGGACCAGGAGCATCAACATCATCTGGGAGCTTGTTAGTTAGAGTGCAATTTTTCAGGCTCTACCCCATATATGTGAATGAGAAAGTCTGGAGATGGGGCCCAGCTGATTGTGATGCACTTTAAAGTTTGAGAACCACTGATGGATTTATCAAAAGGATTGATTCTTATTAAGTGCTCAGTAAAGTGTCAAGCAGCTAGGAAGCCCTCAAAGCATGGTAGTTGTAATTGGCTCTGGTTGTGTCACAAGACCCTGGGAAAGTCACATGGGGGAGTTTACTGTTCTCAGAGGTCAGTACAGCTCCCAGAGTGGTCTTTAGCAGCCTACATCAGAATCCCCTGGGTGCTCATTAAAATGCAGATCCCTAGGCCATACTTTAGGCCCATGGATATAAATTTTGGGGTGGAGGGCCTGGGAATCTCTGAGCTCTTATGCAGAAGTCTACGAGGTAAGTACTGTCCTAATGTTTCCCGTCCATGCCTGTTCCTACCTCAAGATACCTCCATAAGGATCCTTTTCTCCAAGCTCTCGTTTCTGCTGCTCCAGTACAGAACTTCCTTGCTCTCTTTTATGGATTTCTACGCTGACTTCCTCACCGCTGTCTCCATCTCTAGTTTTTCTCCATTGTAATCTATTCTTCCAAATCACTCCCTTGGGTAGTTTTTCTGAAATATAAAGCTAAGCATTTTACTTCCCACATCAAAATACAAACAAATAACCTTCACTGACCACCCCTCACCCCCACCACCATGAAGGTTTCTACAGGACAGAATTCCAAGACCTCAGCCTGTCCCACAAGACCTTTCCCAGGCTGACTCCAGCCTCAGCTATAACCTCTCACTTCTCCTCATGCATCCAACGTTCCTTCTGCCAGGATTCGACTGCTGCTCCCCAATCAGTCTTTGTTTTGTTAATTAGATCATACCATAGCAGGGTGGATTCTAAATCTAATCACTTCTGGGTTATAAACAGATCGGATTAGACACACAGATACACACAGGAGAAGACAGAAGCCATGTGAGGACTGACTACAAGGAACATCAAGGAGCCAAGGAATCAAGGAATGCCCAGGACTACTGACAAGGAAGGAATCGACAAGGCCAAAAGGAAGAATTGGACTTATAGCCTCCAGAACTTTGAGAAAATACATTTCTGTTCTTTAAAGCCACCCACTTGTGGTATTTCTGTTATAGCAGCACTAGGTAACTAAGACATCTGCCTATCTGCAAATACACATATAGATGGGCACATGGACAGCCTTGTGCTCACTGAGCTGAACTGACAGAAAAGGTGGAAGCCAAACGTGAGTTGAGTGATTGTGCATCTTTCCTATTATCTGCTAACACTGCCCCATTAATCCCAATGAGTGGAGCAAGAGACCTCCTCACCTTCCATTATCTATCCTTGTGTTGTCATAAGTATATATTTTATATACTTGGCATAAATATTTTATAAATCTCACTTACTGAGTGTTTTTGATCTTCTGACCGTACTGTTAGAAATCTGCAAATATTTTACAGCATAGTATTGTAGAAAGAGCATTAAGTTATGAAGACAAAATATCTGGTTCTTTGAACTTAACGCCGTCTTTTATTAGCAATGTGACCTTACGCAAGTCACTGAAACTTTGAGCCTCAGTTTCCTCATCTGTAGAGTCACTACTCCAAGCTGGACTATGAAGGTCATCTGACGTTAAGAGAGGAACACATTTTGTAAATATAACTCACTATTTCTGTAATCATTCTGCTCATTTTAAAATCTGATCTCATGGGAGAGTGTCCCATTAGTTACACAGGTGTCTAGATACCTTGTCCATTTCCTCTTTTCTAAGGTTTATGATTGCACTGTGAGAAATTCTTCTTTAGCTATTTTGCCTTTCAGAGTCCTGGCCCATGAGATCACATCTATCCTTTAAAAATCTTTCTAACATATAAGGTACTATTGTCTTGTCATCCTTCTTGGCTATAAATGAGCTCTAACTTCCCTTTTTCCTCCTACTTTTTTTAAAAAACCAAACAAACAAACAATAGTTTTCGTCAAGTCAGTTCTTACTCATGGCAAGCCCATGTGTGTCTAGAGTTTTCAATGGCTGATTTTTTGGAAGTAGATTGCCAGGCCTTTCTTCCAAGGGGCCTCTGGGTGGACTTGATCTTCCAAGCTTTCAGTTAGCAACTGAGCGCATTAAAATTAACCATTTGCACCACCCAGGGAATTTACCTAATTAGTTATTCCTTATTGATCAGAATTAAGTATAGAGCATGTGTTCCCTTCATTGAAGCACCTATCAATCTTAATGAAAGGAGTAGAGAGGAACAATAGGGCCTCACTCAGGCAGGAGGCTTGCTGGTTGGGGTGGGTGGGGGGAAGGGATATAGTGAGTATGGAGATGAGGAAGAAGGGACCAGGTGAGAACACCTATGGGCCTCTATATTACATCCATAAATTCCACCAACAGGCAGCAGAGAAACAAGAAAAGGTTGTTTTGTCCTAAGCACTAGCACACCACTTGGCCATTCCATCCCTGCCCAGAGTCTCTCTCCCCTCACCCCTAAATCAGATCTGATGCTATACGGGGACAGGAAAGTCATGGTTAGTCACAATTCTGCCATGTCTCCTTGCCGCTACTCTCTACTGATGACATTAGCTAGAAGACTGCCAGAGCTTAGAGAGAAAAACAAACCAAAATGATCATAAAGCCATTTGGAAAATATGAGTATGATCAACACACTAAGTAATAATTACTCCCTGCCACTCTTCATACACAGGGTATAAAAGTAACCTGCTCCAAATGAATTACCTGGTTTTAAATGCCAGAGAGTCATGGTCTTGTGATTCCGACAAGGTAACCCACATATCTCATACTTTGGGTTTATAACAAAAGACATTGCCATGAATTGAAATCCCAAAGAACAAAGCCAGATGAAAATTTTAAACATTTACTCCGAAGTTTTCATTATGGGTTATATTCTTCTCAAATATTTTCTCAAGCTTTTTTCCTCTCTCCAGTTTAAATCTCAATCACTAAAAGGAACGATTCGAAGGCAATAATATAGAAACGAAAGGGGAGATTAAATACAAATTAAGCTTTCATTTGTACTGTTTTTCCAGACTGAATTAAAGTGATTGAGCTAAGTTTGGTGTAAAGTAAATTTTACAGCTGTTGGAAGTGATAGAATGTAAGTTGGGTTATACCATTTAAATATTTTACAAATAATTGAAATGGCATTCTTATAAGTTATGTTCCAATATTCATGTTCAAACATAGTAGATCATGCTGACTGGCTCTAAATATATATCTTTCCTTCTGCTTGTGATTTCTTCCATTACCAAAATGAAACTCAAGGAAATTCACTCAAAGATAGGTCAGAGGCATCAGCTAAGATGGTATGAATGTAAAGTCACAATGGTTTAATTTAGCCTATTCAAATTAATTCATCTCAACAGATATTTATTGATTACAGGGCACTAAGCAAGATGCTGGATACAATGAAGAAGTAACCAGACTTGCCCTAAAGGTGCCTACTGTCTCGGAGAAGGAAGCAAGACAAGCCCAAATAAAAATGCTATGTAAGAGGAAGACCTTCAATGAGATGGACTGACACAGTGACTGCAACAATGGGCTCAAACACAGCAATGACTATGTGGATGGCGCAGGAGGGGCAACATTTTGTTCTATTGTACATAGGGTCACTATGAGTCAGAACCAACTTGAGGGTACCTAACAACAACATAAGACAGAATAATACAAATGCATAACAACAGATGGGAAGTGCTGGAGGAAGTAAGGAAGTGGATTGGGAAAGGCTTTATGAAAAAGATCGCATTTAAGCTACATTTTGAAGGATGGATTGAATTTCCGTAGGTAAACACTGTAAGAAGCAATGTATGTGAAGCAAGGGAGAAATAAACAGTTTCAATTAATGGAAATGGAAGAACATGGGACATTTTGGAGAACAAAAAACAAACCAGAAGGAACTAGAATTCCTAGAAAAGTAGTGAGATATTCTCTCAATTCATCGAGGGGAAACCTTCAATGAGGTGGATTAACACAAGAGCCACAACAATGGACTCAAACATGCCAATGATCACGACGATAGTTTTGTTCTGTTATACACAGTCACCATGAGTCGGGGCCAACTCAACCACAACTAACAACAATTCTCTCAATCATTCAACCAACATTTATTGATTACCTTTGTGTCCATAAGATCTGTGGGGGAATATAAAGAAAAGTAAAACAAGATCACTTCTCTCAAGGAATTTGCATTTGAACAGTTAAGACTTGTAAATAAATAAATAACAAAACAAAAAGGAAAAGGGACCACACAATGGTAGAGATATAGTGTTTTGTAAATTTAGAGGAGGGAAAGTTCACTACTAAGCAATAAGGAGGAGAAAAGACTTGAAGGATGGACACATGAAAATTCATTCATTTATTCACTAAAAATACACATTTACATTTCATTTCCTCATATGTTGGTTACTAAGCAAAATAATGAAGAAACAAAGATGAACACAACAGAGTTTCTGCCCTTAATGAGCTCAGCTTGAATGGAAGAAAGGGCAAAGGTGAGTAGGGGAGATAATGTTGGGAAGGAAGGCTGGTACCAAACTCAGGAGAGTCTATGATTTCATAACACAATCAGTCCTACATTAGAGTGGTATGTGAAACCACTGAAGATATCCAGGCAGAAGGTTTAGAAGACTGGTCTGTCTTAGTAAGAATCCCCTGAGAGCAGAGCCTGAGTGGAGCACATAGGTACAGAAGCTTACTTGGGAGATGATCCCAGCGAGCAGGAATGAAAGAGGGGAGGAGGAAAATCCAATATAGAGGTACATCATCTGGGTCCCTGCTCTTAGCATGACTCTTCCAGGACATCTAAGAAGCTTACAGAATGCCTCACAGAACTGTCTGTCTGAAGGACAGGAGGCTGGGCATTTGTCCATCAGCTTCAGTCCCCACATGTTGAGAGCTACCCCTGGTTGAAGCATTGGCTCCCTTGCATTTTCATGCTGTGCTTAGCTTATCTGCAGACTCACATGGCTCTTGGGAAGGTCCTGGACAGAAAGCAGTAAGACTCATGAAGTAGCTTGAGATGAGGCACTGTCAGAGGGAGTCCAAGCTCACGTGGAATGGTGTGCTGCAGCTGTCACTGAAACCAGAGACAGGCTGAGGGGATAGGACAGGCCCCAAAAGTGTCTGCTAGAGTCAGGCAGCAGCTTGCATACATGATAGGGTAGAAGGGAAGGAGCTAGGAAAAATAGTCATTACCTAGGTGAAGAGAGGGATAATTGGGATCTGAACAAAGATAGCACAACTAGTGAGGAAGACACAGGTGTTGAAAATATCAAGGATTAAGCAACTTGCTTAACTGTGCAGAGCTAGAGAGGTATACCATAGATAAATGAGGTTTTAGACCTCCATGACTGAGAACAAGATGGTGCCATGGACAGAATAAAAGTGAACACAAGAAGAGTGGTTAAGATGATGCCCAGGATGAAGACAGAGGACTAGAGTTTGGAGACAGCAATTTGGAAATTATCAGCATAGAGATAGCAGCAGAATTCACAATTTTGCTAACAGTACTACTTAAGAAGAGGAAAAACCAAGTAAAGTTTAGAAACTAAAAAAAATCTACTTTTAACAAATGGGAAAAGAAGACAAAAGAGGAGAGATC